TGCCACGACCAGTCTGACGGGGCTCATGCTTATAACAGTAGCTTGGTGGAGTAGACTCATTTAGACCAATATATTCATTTGGTTTTAGCCAGGTTTCAGTCAAGCAGAGTACATCAAAACTATTATCTGTGATCATTTAATTTACAATAACTGCTTTGGGTGCGAGCGATCTAATGTTTAGGAGCCCAAACTTTAAAATTAGTTTTTGTTCATTTATTTTACATTTCTCTGGTTTAATCACAATCAGATTTTTCCAAGATCCTGCATTAAATTTATATTTTGACCTCACTATTCGGGAACAGACAGGCCAATCACAGTGCACTAGATAGCTGGCCAATCAGAGCACACCATGCTTTTCAGAACGATGAGCTTTGTAAAAATCGATGCTTTTCAGAAAGGCGGGGTATAGAGGAGCAACAATAATGTACAGTATGTGGAAAATAATGTTCCTATTAGCACTGCACATTTGGAAACAAGTGCAACAAATCAGTGGTTTATCGAAACCAAACAGAATAATGAGCAAAATAATTTAGCAAAATGTCACAGCAGCCAATAAATAAAGGAACAGTAGTTTATTACGACCCATTTCAATGACATGGTTTGATATGTGTTGATGTATTACTTGAAACACAAAGAGAGCAGAAATATTGTAAATAGCATATAGATGTTCTCAAAGCTAACACACTGCAATATAATTTGGTTTATTTATTTATTAAATTTTAAATAAACAGGCATTTGAACAAATTAAAGTTACCAATTTTAATATATTGCACATTAATAAAATAAATGACCTTCAATTAACTTTTTTCATACTAGCTACTTGTGTAGCTAGCAGTGGATCTCAAACTAAACCTTTTCGACTCCAAGGCCCTGCTTGGTCCACAACAATATTCAGAGGCCCCTTAACTCCAGTTTTGCCTTCAATAATTATTTTAATATGGACACTCTTAGATAAAAAAGTAACAATTATAGTAAAAGAAAATAAAACAATTGTAATTAAAATAAAAAAAATTCAGGATTCCAGAATTAAAGGGGTCATATGATGCGATTTCATGTTTTCCTTTGTCTTTGGAGAGTTAAATATGTGGAAAATAATGTGTTTTTTGAACCTTAAACCGCGTAAACACACCAAATACACAAAACAATGTTTTTTTTTTGTAACATCATATGACCCCTTTAAAAAATTCAGGATTCCAGAAGTTTTAGAAGTTTTAACCAATGATATCACATGACACTTACTGTTTCTACAGTGTAAACAGGGATGAATTAAAATAAGAAATATCTATTTTTAGTTTTGTCATGACAACTCTCAGAGGGATTGGCATGGTAATGTACATGACAATGTTAATGTATTTGGTCTTGGCGGAATACTTTTGCATATCTGACAGTGTAACATTAAGCAGAAGTATTTCGAATGAGTTAAACCTGTATCCTGTCTTCTGAGTAACATTGAGAATATCACTATATATTGTTGCAACACCGCCGCCACGACCAGTCTGACGGGGCTCATGCTTATAACAGTAGCTTGGTGGATTAGACTCATTTAGACCAATATAATCATTTGGTTTTAGCCAGGTTTCAGTCAAGCAGAGTACATCAAAACTATTATCTGTGATCATTTAATTTACAATAACTGCTTTGGGTGCGAGCGATCTAATGTTTAGGAGCCCAAACTTTAAAATTAGTTTTTGTTCATTTATTTTACATTTCTCTGGTTTAATCACAATCAGATTTTTCCAAGATCCTGCATTAAATTTATATTTTGACCTCACTATTCGGGAACAGACACAGTCTTTATAGATTGGACAGCACATTTTACGGAGGAAAGTTTCCTGAACCTGGTAAGGGGCGTAACATTTCCGTCACACGCTTGAGGAATGGCCAATCACAGTGCACTAGATAGCTGGCCAATCAGAGCACACCATGCTTTTCAGAACGATGAGCTTTGTAAAAATCGATGCTTTTCAGAAAGGCGGGGTATAGAGGAGCAACAATAATGTACAGTATGTGGAAAATAATGTGTTTTTTGAACCTTAAACCGCGTAAACACACCAAATACACAAAACAATGTTTTTTTTTTGTAACATCATATGACCCCTTTAAAAAATTCAGGATTCCAGAAGTTTTAGAAGTTTTAACCAATGATATCACATGACACTTACTGTTTCTACAGTGTAAACAGGGATGAATTAAAATAAGAAATATCTATTTTTAGTTTTGTCATGACAACTCTCAGAGGGATTGGCATGGTAATGTACATGACAATGTTAATGTATTTGGTCTTGGCGGAATAGATCTGCTACGCTGCTGCTGTTGCTACGGCAGAGCAAGTACCGAGACTTGCTACTGCCAATACATCCACAACGTGCTGCTGTAAGCATGTAAGAAGTACTGCTGCTGCACATATAACACATATGAATAACCCCCATATAGCATACATGAATCAACCCATAGCAGATCTGTACAGGTGGAGCTGGGGAAGGTGGAGGGTTTCTGAAGTGTGCTGACAACTGCTACAGCAAACAAAAGCCAGGTATTTGAATATTGAGCAGCAAGCACATTGGCTACCGATACAGGAGAGAACCAATCAGCTGCCATGTGACAATGATGTCATCAGGCCAGATTGAGCTAGACCTATTGGACAGCGCCATCTAGAGTTTCATGCCAGAACTCTGTATTTGTCTTAGCTTATTTTAATGCTTGTTTTGTCTTACTTTAAATAATTTTAAGTCATTTTAAGTTATTCTATAAGGCCACTCCCCCTGGTTGAGAAGCACTGCTATATACAGTAGTTTTCTGAGTAGATTGTCCTTCATCATTTTTGTCAGGATCATGGACCTGTTTTGTCGTGTTTTGCCCCTGTTTCTATTCCTGTTTTCCCTTATTTGGTCATGTTCCTGTCCTCGTTTAGTCTGATTGTCATATGTGATTCACCTGTGTCTCGTTAATTACCTCGTTTGTGTTATGTATTTAAATTATAGTCTGCCCCTTGTTTCCTTGTCGGATCTTAAACGTCATTGTGCTACGTGTGTCTCCTGGGTACCCTGTGTTTCCTCCTGTGGATAATTAAAGACTGATCTGTGTGAAATCCCTCGTTTCCTCATTCCTCGCTCCTCACAGTAGGCATCCCTGACAGAAGATCCGACCGACAAACAGTTTATTGCGTGTTTCCCCTCCGTTTTGTTTCTGTGTTTTCCTCAGTGTTTTGTTTTTTTTTGTTTCTGTTGCATCCATGGATCCCCTCGATCGCTCGAGGGCCACACCAGACTGTTCCTGGTCCTCGTCAACCTCTCCAGCTACCTGGATGACGGGCTCTGTGTGTTCTATGACGTCAATCTAAACTCCGCGTACAGAGCGCTGTCGTCCGAGGAAGGCCCTCGAGCGAATTTCGACCGCCTTTGTGGAGTGCCACTCCGGACCCATTGCCCAGCTCACCATCTCCCCGCGGTGCGGAGCTAAAGCCCGAGCCCACCGATGATGGAGAGCCCATTACCGCCGCGATCGAGCCAGCGCAATGCCGAGCAACTGAGCGGAGGATTGCCCCGGATGCAGAGTCTAACCCGTCAGACCAGGTGCGAGAGCCGGCGACAGTGCCCGCCCCGAGGGAGCAAGCCGTGGAGAGTGAGAGCGTGGAGTGGAGCTCCGCCCACTGCACCGCGGCTGAGGGTGAGCTAATTGTGCATCTGGGACTGCTGGACATAGAGGGGGACCTGATAGACTGGGAAACTGATTTGGAAGCCGATTTGCCCCCTCTCCTCTCTCCTTCATCTCCTGTTCCCACGTCCAGCCCAAAGTGGGCTCCCGTTTCGTAGTCCAGCAGAGAGAGAGACTCAGTCCCCGAGTCCAGCCAGGTGTGGGCTTTGATCCCGGAGGGCAGCCCTGAGAGCCCAGAGGCTCACAAATCCCCACCCCCCGCCCGCTCCTGCCTCCTCCACCGCTGTCATCTGGCAGCCCCTCTGCTCGCCCTCAGCCCACCATCAGCACGGTGCGAGCTCCGCGGGACTGCCATCATCCAGCGTTGCCGTGGCTGGAGTATCCCTTGACTCCACTTCCAGCCTCCGAGGCCCGGACTGTGCCTCGGCCCATAGACCCAGCAGCTCCACCTCAGCTCCTAGCTCCCTCATATCAGTTCCTAAATTCAAAACAAACAAACAAACAAAAAATCTAAAAGAATCGATCTTGTAGTCTATACTATTTTAAGGTGATGAGTAAACAAAGCTACATTAAACATTATTTGTACCATGCCTCCTATTCAATAAATCAAAGAAAAAGATTTGTGCTTTGTTACTCTTGATTTGAAACAAAGTATCAACTTTCAAATTCTGCCCATTTTACAGCTTTAGCTGAGGGAGATTTGAGAGAGATTGACATATCTCTCTGTACTGTACCTGACATATTTCCACATGAATCAATATCGAATTGAAACCAGTCGAGATTGGAACTGAATCGAATAACAATCTTGTGAATCATTATCAAATCATTAAAGTAGTGTCAGTACCCAGCCCTAATTTAAAGCTGTATTTAGTGCTGTCCATCTATGGCTGAATCACCTAAGACAGGTTAATTTTCTGGTGTAAACTGATATGTAAACTGGTGTTTGTATCGTCACACATTTTTGTTGAGGCACACCAGTCTTTCCATCCCAACCTGTGTGAAGACAAACACGTATCCCGCATCTGCCCAGCGACAGCTATTACTGTGCCAGTCTTCATCAGTCTCTTGGCTACGGTTTAGGCTGAGACCTTCACCTGACAGTCAGAGAGAGAGCGGCCCCGGAGCTTGTGTTTAACACTCCAGTAAAAGACCCATGTCTGCCTGCCCTGGTCCCGGACAAACTCAATTTAATCCCCTGTCTCTGTATTGATGAATGGTGGGGAAAGTTCAGAGAGCAAATTAAGTTTCTTTTAGAAGTTTTGTTGTCGTGGTTGTTGTTGTGGTGGTGGTCGGTTGGCGGGCTGAGCCTTCAATTAGACGTCTTGTCTTTGTTTCACAATTAAATTAACAGTCGGAATCTCCGGCGGGGAAGGCTTTTAAATGCTTTAAAAGTTGTTTTACATCTAAGCTGAATCACCTAATTTGTAGCTTTGTCAGGTCATTGGTCATGAGAGGTTTATTAAGGAGAAGTCTCAGATCCATTAGCGCTTGGCTCAGGTTCATAGAGGGCTGGATGGAAACATTTTTAAAAGGCATTGAGGGTTAAAGAGCTCAACAGTTTATGGGGACAAACGTATCTCTCTTTTCCAGCACTCACCAGAACCCAATGTAGAAATAAAAAGTGACCATTACTATGGTCAGAGGTGGATTATGTGTGCTGCCTGCCAACGATCAACATGGAGTGGTTGGAAATAGGAAGACCATTTAACTGTTTATTGCAGTTTGTAAAAATGGTGGAAGATTTGAGGTTTCTATTTTAACATGATCTGACACAATAATGAACTCAATCTTGGAACAAACCCTAAGTATTAAACTTGTTTAACTTGACCCATACTGTTTGTGTTATGAACATGAATAATAAATCATTTGGCTTGTTGAGGTAGGGATGTGCTGTTTGTTTCATAAATGTTTGGACTTTAATTTTTCCTGGTGGACAATAAAAAGGAGAATAGAAATCATGTAGATTCAAACGGGGGACACAAGCCATATTTAGAGCCTAGAATTGACAGGCTATATTTACACAGTCTGATTTTTTTGTTTTTTTTGCCTAACCAACTCAAATATGTTCAGTTTACTTGTATGCTGAATAAGATTAAACAAAAGACAATAAGAAAAGGTTAACATTTTAGTTTAGGGACAAATTCTCACTATGAAGTAGTTGCTTATTATCATGCATATTTCTAGCATATTGGCTGTTTATTAGTACCTTAATAGCAATCATTAAGTTAAGTGGTCTAAATGTATTTATATGTATTTATATCGTCTGTGGAAAGCGCAGGACCATAAAATGTTCATCCAATCATATCCCTGGGTCCGAGGGCTATGATAGCCTGTCCTATAGCTGCCTGTCAACATATGTATTTGCATACCTCAGCGCACACTATTCCCGCACACATGATACTTTATCAGTGCGTTCCATTGCGCTATTGCAGACCAAGCAAGAATGGAAGGTGTTATTATTGTAATATAATGCACTTTGTACTGAAATGTTTTCTCACCGGTGAATGAGAGATGAGATAACAGCATTGCATTCAACCCTCCACCAACGCAGTCTCTCATCATGTCACTGATTAGGCTCTGGTCTGCTTGTGCATGTTCATGTGTTTTGGAGCAGGCGTGGCTTTGGAGAGTCAAGGTCAAGGTCAAGTTTATTTATATAGCACCTTAAAAGCAACGTGTGCTGACCAAAGTGAGGCACAACCAAAACATAAGAAAATATCATTCAACAATAAAAGCATTATTAAGACACATAAAATTTTAAATCCTAAAATACTAATTGCATTAAAAAAAACAGGAAAAGAAAAAGAAAATGAATACAAAACATCACCAAATAAAGAAAAAATTATTATAACTTAATTTAATACTCACATGCTGTGTGACAGCCGCTTTCTGTGCGCATGCTTCGGATGTGTGCTCTCAGAAAACTGTATGTCAGAAGTTCAAACTGATATGGCTTTAAAATGCATGATTTCAGTGCGATATACATGATAATCAAAACCAAACAGATGTTTTTTGGCAGAGTATTTGAGGTACGAGTTGTAAAGGCACAGTCCTATTCTGGAAAAGGGGGCGGGGAGCAGAAACTCATTTGCATTTAAAGATACAGGCAAGAAAACAGCGTGTTTTTGCTTCCACTCAAAATAGGCATTTTCAAAATGATATAATAAATTATCTGTGGGTTTTTTTGAGCTGAAACTTCACAGACACATTCTGGGGACACCTGAGACTTATATTACATTTTGTAAAAAGGGGCATAATAGGTGCCCTTTAAGCTTTAATGTTGTTTTTAAACCATGGCTGATTTTTCGGTTTAGTTTTTTTTTTTTTGGGATTTGAGAGGGGCGACTACATTTAAGATTGCTGAAAAGGAGGAATTACAACTATTTGCCAACTCATCAACATTTAGATCCTGTGCTGCCAGGACACTACTGTGAGCTGGAAGGGCTATAAAATTGCAAGGCAGTAGAGGGGTTAATAGACAGAGAAAGGTAGGCAGAAGACTGGTTTACAGGGCTAGAGCAAACAATCACACTGTCCAAAAAAAAAAAAAAACCCTGGCCAGTGGTCAGACAGTCTGGCATCACTAACAGTTATATTACTGACAGAAAATCCTGATGATAAAACAAGATCAAGAGTGTGACCCAGCTTATGTGCAGGACCTGAGACATATTGAGTGAGATTAAAAGAGTCCAGAAGTTGTACAAAATCTCTTACAAGAGGTCTCGAAGGACAAGACAGATATATATTAAAATCACCAAGAATCAAGAGATTATCAGTACTTGGGACCACATAAGATAAAACAATCTGAAAACTCCTTTAAAAAGGCATATCTTTTGGAGGTCTGTATATCAAAACTCAAAGAAGTGGACTAGAAAGTTCTACTTCGCACAATAATACCTCAAAACTAGAGTAGGCATCAATGGGCAGAAGTTTGCATTTGAACAGGTCCTCAAAAAAGACAGCAACACCCCTGCCCCAACTAGAAGTTCTGGGGCAGCTAAAGTGATTACAGTATACAGAGGAAAGTTCAGATAAGGGGCTTAGATCATCTGCTGTAAGCCAGGTTTCAGTAATAAATAAAAAGTCTAGATTGTTTGATAAAAAAAAAGAGTCATTCAATAAAAATTGTTTTGTTTAATACTGATCTTGTACTTATCAAGGCCATTTTAATTTTAAGTTGATTTGACTCTTGCAATGCGGGGTCATTTTGAAACGCCTCTGGTAGCAAGCGAAGAAAATTTAAGATCACCCCACACAGCGGCGCCGCAACGGTCGCTCATTTGACAATATTACAGGACTATTGCCTGGTATTGCAGGCATATTTGACCGTGTAAGCCGTGGACAATGAGCACCACAGTGAACATATCGTGAGTGACGAAGAATCCCCAGACCAGCACATCTTTTTATATAGTTATCTGATGGCATCATTACTGACCGATCATTCAATCGCATAAGTTCGGAGAATGTAAACGTAATTGCCATGGTCGGTAGAGATGAGAATACATAAGAGAAGTGTTGTTCACTATTCCAAGTGCTGATAATTCACAGAACAGTCAGAAGAAAACAGCAGACAGAGTACAAATTCATAGTTGAAATCCCATAGAGTCACTCACAGGGCACCAGATCCATGGGAGTTCAATGGCGTATCTCTGATAAAATGGAAAACGACGCTGAAAAGTCCATGAGAAAACCTAGTAATAATAATACAAACATGCAGCCCAGATGCAGTGGAAGTCAGAGGAAAATTCAGCGGCAAAGGCTCCGATGAAGCAATCACAACACAGAGTTGCCGACACCCAGAAGACGAGATGAACAGCAGTAGGTTAATCGAGAAAAACGTCCAAACTCCAGAGGCCCGGTGTTGGCAAAACACTGACAGCAGCAGCGGAACAAATTTCCCAGGTTAGCTTTAGCATTAGATTGTAGACTGCTTGAATTCAATAGATTGCACCGATCGAGAGGAACTCGGCCAGAAATGATCAGTTATCACCAACTTGAAGACACTGTAAAAATTAGACAATAATTAACTAAAAAAAAGATACAGTAAATTAAATAAAACAAGAGGACCGGAGAGCAGCAGCAGACAATGCGCACGGCGTTCACTCAGTCGGAAGGGGTTGCTTGCAGACAATGTTGCTGCTTCAATGTTTTGATTTGCAGGGAGGGTGGGATTCCACCCTGGTGGGTTTTTGTTAAATGTGAGCCAAAATCATCACAATTAAAAGAACCAAAGACTTAAACTACTTCAGTCTGTGTGCATTGAATTTATTTAATACACGAGTTTCACAATTTGAGTTGAATTACTGAAATAAATGAACTTTTCCATGACATTCTAATTTATTGAGATGCACCTGTATTATAGGAACTTTAATTCTGAATTTTCTGAATGTTAAGAAATATAAAAGTGTACCCTCTGAAAGTACATTTAAGTGGCCTAATTTCATTAAGATTATATTTGCTTGACAAAGAACCCAGTTAATAAAAATGTTTTAGGAACATTTTGTTAATGTTGATGTTCTCATTAAGTTAGTTCTTTGAATATTCAAAACGGCCAGTTTTGTTTTGTTTTTTAATATGCAGACTTTAAGGGAACACACAATTTTATTATTTTGTAAACATTATAGAAACTTTACTTTTGAATGTTCTCTGAACATTTTCAAACAAGTAATAACATTAAAAAAGCGTTAGACAAACATTCAACTAAAACAATTCAGGAAAAAACATTCCATGAAAGATGTAAACAATAATTGACGACAGGCCGTTGAATTATTATAAATTAATGCACACGGGAGGTGGTGATGCGGAGTGGCTGTTACACCTCGGTGTGCATTATTTTCTAATAATTTAACAGACCTGAGTAATATTATTCCGCTTATACTACGGTTACCACACTTCAAGACATTGTTCAAATGATGTATTTCAAGATATTTGTCAGGTTTTTGTCCTTAAAATACGTCTTGTGTGTAGGATTAACTTCTCACACATCTCATCCAACACCTCCATTGCTAATTCCAAAACGTAATTTCAGACCCAGTAATGGAGGCTTGAGCCATTGATAGCAGACTAATGCAGTTAATAATGAAGTTATGAGAGAGAGAGAGCGATTAAGCGTGTGTAAATTACCACTATGAGTCTCTGTGCGTCTTTCAACAATGTTCGGCAGCAGCGTCTCTACTAATAGCGAAACTCTAAATTCATCTGCTATTATCTGCCGTTATTACCTCACTAGTAAGAAATGTCATGGAGCTTTAAGTGGCTAAACTATTTTATTGATAAAGTCGTCAGAGCAGCGCTGACAACACGTTTCTGTGCATGTGTATGTGTGCCTGTACTATATGTGTGTGCGTTTGTAAGGGAGAGAGAACTGGAGAAAGAGAGGATTACTTTCCATACTTAATAAAACATAAAAGTCACGATCACCTGCTGGAGTTCCCATGTGGCACTCCCTCCTTGTTCATTGTCTTTCTAGCATGGACTTCATACCCCATAATCCTTTGAGCACACTCATCAGCACTCATTGTTTGCACCTGCATCTTGTTAAGCCTGTCTGCTAACCATATTTAAGCCCTGTGTTTTGCTTAAGTGTTTTGGAGTATGCGTTACTAATGGAGCGTAACGATAGTTCTGGCAGGCCATGTTAGTCAAGCTCACATCAGCTGACACTCAGCTGATCCACGTCTACCTATAGGATCACGTCACCAATCATAATTCCATTCATAAGGTCCCTTCAGTCATCATTCAGCAGCTATCGCTTCGCTTAGGAACTAATCACCCACCTCCATCCCCAGCTCCTCCTCTCGTCCAGTCAGGACTTGGCAGTGAATATATCATTGAGTCAGACCACTGAATCATGTTGTTAAAATAATTACATAGAACATTAATGGTATGTGCTACATTTATCATTGATGTTGGTTCTGTTCTGTTACCCTGGGGGGGGTATTCTGCTCTCCCTGCTCCTATCCATGCTAGGCTGCGTGGATGGGCAGGGAGTGTTTGCCCAGAACAGAACCATTCCCCCAACCTAAAATGTATGCTAATCGTAAGTTATATTGACGATAGTGGTCCTGACAGAATTGCATGTCTGAGTGCTCAATTGATTATCTGTTCCATAGTTTTGACTCCTGCCTGTTTTTGGGTTTTCCATGTTTGCCTGTTCTCTGGATTACCCTGTTGGCGTGAGTTTCCTGCCTGGTGTTTTGTGTTGGACTGTTTACCCTGTGTTTATGACCTCTCGCCTGTTTATTTGATTATGTCTTTGGATTACCCTTTAATATATGCTGCATGTGGATCCTCAACCTTCAGTCTCGGAGCAGTGTGTAACAGTAATATTGTGGCAAAAACACGGAAATAGTTTGTTGGTTTTTATCATATTGTTTACTATGTTTATTTGCTTGGTCAGTGCTGTTGTGGGTTTAGGTTCTTTTGCTGTTGTAAGCTGTAAGGACCTTTGAAATAATGGGAATCATTTAGCAAAGTGATATGGACATGTAATGCAGTCTAGACCTGCCTGGAACTACTTTAACCTGGAACTGCTTTAGCCGTGCGTTCCCCTGAAAATAATTGCACACCTTAGAACGTTCATCAGCCAATCAGATTCAAGCATTCCGCAGCCCCTTAGTAGTATGTTTCGGTGCTAACCTTTTGAAAACATTATTAAAGATCAGATAAGGATTTTTCCTGGAAGAAAGTTTGTTAATAG